TAACTATCGGAGCTAAACCGTGCAACATTAATCGCTCTCCCAATTTACGATAGTAACAATAGTAATTAGATTATTAAACCTAGTACCACGTTAATTATTGGAGCTAAACCGTGCAACATTACCCGCTCTCCCAATCTACAATAGTAATACTATCAGCATTGATAAGAAAATTTTTAATATTGTACAGACTAGTGTTTCAGGCGAAATTATTTTTGAGTTTCGCCCTATAAGTCCGAAATTAATTTCGCCCAATTTTGATATGCAAAATTGAAACACTAGTACAGACTGCAGATCATAATGGGAATTGTCAATTCTCGAATTAGTTTTTCAGACAGACATTGCATGATCGTGCATTGAAATTATAAGTCCCCCGCTTCGTTTCAGACAATAAAGTACGTACATACTACAAAAGCTCCCTACTACCTGTTAATGTTTGTATATTTATGTTGAAATTTAGTCAATGAAAATGCCCTTATCGCCCAGTTTTGGATTTTCCAATATGATTTAAGACAATCAGACCTATAAATTATCTTGTCGTCTTATAATTCGCATCAAATTTAAATACTTAAATGGCAAAAGAATAAAAAGATTATTTACAATTTGTGAAATTTATATTGCAGTAATTGAATAGTAATGTAATATTGTATATATATAAGATAACAGTTTTTACCTTTTACCGCTCATTTATCATTCAAACAATCTAAAGATAATTTCTGTTCTTACTTTTATCGTTCAAACTCTCTAAATATAATTTCTGTTCTTACTTTATCGTTCATTTATCATTCAAACCTGCTAAAGATAGTTTCTCATAATGTTGTCAAATCAATATTTCATTTTTATTCTAGTTCTAGTTCTTGGTTCAATTCTCAATATGGCTAGCGCTATTCCTTTTGACGCTATGCATAAACGCGATGGTAAAAAATTTATAATATTTGTGATGCTTTGTATTAGTTCGTTATTGATTTATGTTCTCTAACATTTTTACATCTCGATTAATTCTTTAATTATATGAATTCTTATTAGCCTGTAAGTATATACTAATTTTAAAATACACATTTGCTTTTAAATTAACTATTATGATATCTTACTATATCATGTATATTTTTTAGGTGGTATATATAAAATCCAATTCTATTAATTTAATAACTTAATGTATCAATAATTAATTATTTTGCATTCTTATTAGACAGTAAGTATATGTTTATTATATTTGTAAATATTTGTTTGCAATTATACCTTCTAATTAATTATTTTGCATTCTTATTAGACTGTAAGTATATGTTTATTATATTTGTAAATATACGTTTGCAATTATACCTTATAATTATTTTTATCTTGCTTATTTTAGGTGGTATGTATAAAGTTTTAATTATATTTTAAATAAAGCATATCTAATTATCTATTAATTTATATTATGATTTCTTCCATTAACTTATTAGGCGGTATAGCTTACTAAATATAATACTGTACGACAGGGTGAAACTCGCGATAGAAACCCGCGAAAGTGGTTACGTTATTGATGCAGATCACTATCTAAAATAGTAATTAACTATCACTAACCCTAACTAAGTAAGATCTGCATCAACAACGTAACTACCTCCGTCGCGGGTTTCACCCTTTCATAATACGTATAATTTACAATCAAATAGTACCTTCTAATCATTTTTTTATCATATTTTTTTTTGTGTTTTTAGCATGTATGTATGATATTAAATATGTTAATTTTATTTTAAATCAAATAACTTTTAACACTTAATAATTTATAATATAAATTAGATTGTATGTTTATTTTAATTATACATTTCAACTATTTGCTTTTAAAATTATAACTTTTAGTTAATTTAATAATATATACATATTTGTAGGTAGCTGTATGTAGAAATTTTATTTTGATAAAAATCTTTAATTGACTAATAATTGGTGGGAATGACTCAAGTTGAGCAGAGTCACTAAGTCATGACCATTTATACTAACAATCTATATTATTAAATTAATTAGACTGTAAGTATATGTTTATTGTATTAAAATATACATTTGCGATTATTTGCTTTTAAATTATTATTTCTAATTATTTTTATAACTTACCTCTATATCTCCATATTAACAATCTATATTATTAAATTAATTAGACTGTAAGTATATGTTTATTGTATTAAAATATACATTTATGATTATTTGCTTTTAAATTATTCCTTCTAATTGTTTTTATAACTTGGTATTCTAGGGCGTACGTATAAGGTTTAATTATATTAATTCAATAATTTAATTAATGCATCTCTAATTAATTCTTTATAATACATATATTTTAGCTGAAGGTACTTATATATAAAGTTTAATTATATTGATTTAATAATTTAATTAATGAATCTCTAATTATCTCTTTTTTACCTTATAACTTATAATCTCATTTTTAGGTATATTATTTAAACTGTTATTTTAAAAAATTCCAAATAAAACATCCATAATTGATTCCTAATATTTTTAATAAATTTTCTTATTAGATAGTAAGTATTGATTTTACATAATATAAGTTTGCTTCTATTTACTTTTAAATAGCTTTCTAATGACTTAATTTAATATCTGTTCATGTTTTTAGATGGTATATATAATTATGCTAATTTTGTCATTTGATATAAATTTCTAATTAACTCTTAATAACTTATTATATAATCGATAAATGCTTACTAGGCTGTATGTATACGTATATTTTTAATATGATTTTGCAATTATTTGTTTTTTTTTTTTTAAATTATTTTATAACTTATAATATGTATTTTAGGTTGTATGTATAAAACTCTATTCAATTTTTTTTGAAGCGTCTCTAATTAACTCTTAATAATTTATAATATAAATTTTTTAGACTGTAAATATATTTATTTTATATATATTTGTTATTATTTGCTTTAATTTACAAACTCTTGTTAACCAGCTTTATAATTTATAACTATATTCTTAGATCGTGAGTATAAAGTTAAATTATATTCGTTAATATTTTAATAAAACTTTAATTAATTTATAATATGAATTCTTATTAGGATGTATGTTTATTTTAATATAAATTTCAATTATTTTATTGTAAATTATATCACTTAATCATTTAATAACTTATTGTTATATTTTTAGGCGGTATGTATAAGCATACTATATTAATTAAATATTCTAAATAATTTATTCTTACTTATTTGCAATATATATTTTTTCTAATAAATTATTAGAGGGTAAGTTTATATTATTTTGTATTGCTTTAATCTGTCTAATATTTCTAATTATTTTCTTAATTTATTTAATTTATTACCTATATTTTAGAGTGTGCGTTCAATGTCTAACTATATTATATTTTTCTTGTGCTTATTAAAAACATTTTAATTTTTTTTTGTATTAACTAATTAAAAATATAATCTATTCTTAGTATGTTGTAAGTATATATTATTATATTTATTTATATTTTTAATTACCTGCATTTAAAATATATCTAATTATTAATTTATAATTATTTATAGTGATTTAGAAACCTGTAATAAATAGATTTCTCAATAATAATTATTTTCAATATTTGTAAACAGTAAGTACATGTTTTATTATAGTAAATAATAATAGTATTGATTATTTTAATCTTAATAATTTTATTAATTTTGAAATTATTAAATTTTAAATATTTTTTAAAAGTTTATAATTATTGTACTTCTTTAAATAGATTAATATTGTGAAATTATTATTTAATATATTAGTTTATTTTAATATATTAGTTTATTTTAATATTATTCAACTATTTGTTTTTTAATTTATATATTTATATTTTACTCAAATTTTGAAATCGATTTATTTAATTTCAATTTACAAATTTTAAAACTAAAATAGTTTCTATTAAAAATAATATACAAATTTTAAAAAATACAAAAACCATATTGGTTAAAGAATAAGTTATACAATATATACTGATATATTTAAAATAATTTATTGCTATTTAAATCATAAATATTTGCTATTAATAATGTCTTTTATTTAATTTTATTAATTTAGTCAGTAAATACATTTCTTAATCGATTTCTAATCGACACATTTAAAATAATTTAAGTTCATTAATATTTAAGTTACTATTACATGATACCTCTCATTTATTATCACAGCTGATGCTGATTTTTGAATCTATTTTATTATAAATTTTAAAATATTTTAGGCCTTTTTTGTAGAATTTTTTTTGGAGTTAGCTTAGAGTTTAGGGTTAGGGTTGTTTATAAAGAGTATATGTTGATTTTTTCAAAAATTTTGACTCTTGGCACAATGCAAGTTAATGCATGTTGTTAGTTTTCAACAAAATATTTGAACTCGCACTACTTTTAAATTTTCAATTACGTAGAGTAGGAACAAGTACTAATTAGTTTAAGGTCAGATAAGAAATTGAATTCCAAAAGAATTCAATTTCTTAGCTGACATTAAAATCCTTGACCAAATAAAAGAGTTATAAGTTAGTATCAGCATACCTGAGCTTACTATGATATGCTGTCCAATAATTTTATTATTGGACAGGAATATCATATTAAGATGCCGGATAAAGAAAGTATATTGATTTATTTATATAATTCGACCGGATCCGATATTATAACTTATACCGTGTATAAAAATTTTGTATATAAATAAATTATGTTTTTTTTTAAATTTTTATATTAATAAAGTTATTTGCAAATTTTTTAATCAGGAAATAAATAAAGTAATTTTTAAGAATATGAAATTTTGTGCAAATTTTCAAACCTGCTAAAAAAAATTTAAAAATTTGCACAAAATTGTAATAACAAATATTTGCAAAAAATTTTAATTAATAATAAGAATAAAAGAAAACAAAGCACACCATAAATAAAATAATTTGGTTTGTTCTATATTTATATATTGAGAATCAGACCTTTGCATTTTAAGTTTTAATAATTTCATAATTTGCTACCCACTTTAGGATATTTGAATTTTCGATGTGCAAACTCTTATTATTTTTATCATAGAATCGTTTTTTACAATATACATAAATTGATTAACTTTTTCCATGTAATTGGAGTATAAATAACGGAAGTTATTCCTCCAATGTTGTTAATTACTTTTTTTGACAACTCAATTCCTTCATTACCCGGAAATACTATAAAGATTATTATTAATTCATTATTATAATTCATTTCTCTCAATTCTAATACTACTTTCATGGTCTCTTCTTCGTTATTTTCGTAAAGTCTGATGAATACTATATCATAAGCAGATTGCTCACTCCATTCCCTGTATGCTTTTGCTGCTTTGATAACTTCATCAAAAGTACTGAATGCATCGACTTTTTTAGCTTTTTTAAGAAATTTCAACATAGCATTTCTCGCACCTTCAACAGGGTGAATTATTAGTATTCGTTTTTGCTTTATATTAGATAATTTATCACTCATTCGTTCATAAAATTGTGTATCTAATAGTGCAACATTCCACGTAAACCAAAATTTACTTCCTTTTCCTAACTGGCTTTCTGCTTTAATTTCTCCTCCATTAATTT